GCCCGATCTGCATGAGACCGGCCACCGGTTGCGCCGTAGGCGGGGGTCCTGCGCCGCCCTGCTGCGCGGCCTCAGGGGCCGCTGCCAGCCTAGCCTGGTTGTCCTTCGCCTTCTTCCTGCACTCCGCGGCGATGTGCCCCTTCTTGTGGCAGTAGAAGCACTCCTTCTCCTTGTTGGCTTCCGCCTTTGCCTTGGTTTTCGGGGCTCCCTTGGCGTCCTTTCCTTTCCCTTTCCGTGGATCAGCTCCTTTTCCTTCCCCCTTCTTTCCTTTTCCTTCACCTTTACCCTTACCTTCCCCCTTCTTGCCCTTTCCCCGTTGTGGTATGGCGCCTAGCTCCATAGGTTTGGGCTGGGAGTTTAGGTACTGCGTGGTTCGCGCCATGTCGAGCAGCTCCTCCTTCATGGCCTTCCAGGTTTCCAACCTGCTTGCGTTCTTCACAAGGTGTTGCTGGACGTCGGTGTCCTGCATATTGACCACTACCAAGCCGATCTTCAGATCCTCGTCGAAAACCTTCTTCGACTGCTGCTCGTACTCACGGATCAGATGTTCAAACTGATCTAAGCTCTGCGGGATGTCCCCGCTGAACTTCGCAGTGAGTATCTTGATCAGCAACCCGACCCGCCTCGTGCGGATCTTGGGGTCCCAGTCAAGGACCGACTGTCTCCATGCCTCCAGTCCCTCTCCTGAAGACACAGTGGACATTTTGTCCTGGGCTGCTGACCGGAACAGCATTACCATCAAGTAGTAAAGCTGCGAACTTAGTGACGCCTTCCACGGCTGGTCAAGGTCTACGTTCCTGATCACCACCTCCGAAGCCTCCGCCTCGTCCAACAAAGCCGGGTATTTTGTATCTATCGCTGCTAAGTAAGCTCGAAAGATAAAAGCCCAGTCGCCCCATTTGGCTCGCTCACCGTAAAACAGGTCTGGTTTGCCGATGAGGCGCGTGTCTACAGCAGGCTGAAGCTGGACAAACGGCTGCGCTGGCTGCGCTGGCTGCGGCGCTGGCGCGGCCCTCAGTTGTTGAACCGTAGCAACGAGCTCGCGGATCTGCTGGTCTTGCTGACGGATCTGCTCCCTGATCTGTTCTTCTACAGTCGCCATGGCGCCGCGTCCTGCCACTTGCGCGACTGCCCGCGCGACGGCCTGCTCCTCGAACGAGTGCGACGCCGCGCCGCGCGCTCCGGCGCTGCCGACGGTCGCGGCCTCTGCGGGGCCGCTGACGGTGCACGACGGCTTGCGTCAGCCGCTCTGGCACCCAGGCGCTCGGGACAGCCTGGCTGCCCTCGCTCTGCCGCCTCGCGCTGCCGCTGGGGCGCGACGGACGGCCTGGGGCGGCTTGGAGCAGCCGCTGAGCTCGCAGCGCCGCGCTGCGAGTGGCTCGGTGGCTCCTCGTCGGTGTCCTGGAGGCGCTGCTCGTGCCAAGCCTTGCTGTCCTCTAGCTCAGCAAGCGCGGTGGAATGCACCTCCAGCTCCTCGAGCACCCGGCTGAGCTCCCGCCGTTCGCGGTCGGTGGCTGCTCCGGCGTCCTGCCGCGCCAGGAGCTCCTTCTTCCTGTCCAGGAGCGGCTTGGCCTTCTCGAAGAGCTCGTCCCCGTCCAGCTGCAGCAGATGGATGGCGCGACAGTGGCCGTTGTCGAACCAGGCGCGCTTGCTGGCACTCAGCTTCCGCTGCCAGCCGGGCCGAGGATCGACGCCGCGAGTCTGCCCCGAGCTGTCGGTGACCAGCTTCGGCGCCTCGCCTGCGACCCTCCGCCTGTAGGGTTCCCAGAGAGCCTCCAAGTGCTCGCGGCGCTCGGTCGCCGTCGGGAGCACGTCCAAGGTCAGACCCAGAGACTCCCTCTGCCTGGCGCCCAGCTCGTTGCACAAACCCTCTCTGAGTGCAGGGTCTTTGTGCTTCAGCCGGAGTCTGAGCTTCCGCCGGCTCGTCCGCAGCTCGTGGGATTCCTTGCTCCTCACTCGTCGGTTGTTGGGGTTTCCCTGACCCCGTGCTGGTCTCAGCGTGACCGGCTGTGGAAGGCTCTCGTGCCCTCCGGACGGCCGGCCCTGTGCCGGCGGGCTGGGTGCTCCCCGGGCGGCCCTGGGGGAGCGGGAAGGGCGGACGGTCCGCCGAGGTGGTGGCCCAGGAGGCGGCCTGGGTCTGGGTGGTGCTGTCCCCGCACCGGGGGCGGGCTCAGGGCCCGCTGGGGAGACGGCCTGGCGGGCCGTTCTCAGCAGCCACGCTCCGCTGCCATGTCGTGGCGGCGCGCGCGGAGGATGAGGAGAGGAGGTCGGTCCCTTTCCCTGCGCTCGGGACCGAAAGGGCTATGGAAGAATGCATGCTTCTGATGCTACACCATGCTGCTATCTACTCCCTGCTGCTACCTACCCCACCCCCTATAGTTACACAGATCATGCTATGGGGCTCAACACAGGGTCGACCTACTAATCTGGGCCGACTGTATTTTTTGTATCATTTCTGAATATTCCCTTCTGTAGACTGCCAAGCCCGCCTCAACGTGAGACTCGGGCTCGGGAGCCCGCGCATGGAGCCGAGATCAAGACGTCGCGTGTCCGGGAGCGGCCTCTCAGGGGCCTTGTGCTGAGCAGGGGCCGACCGTCCCGACGTTCCTGTAGGCCTACCACGAAATATTCTCAGAACCCAAAAATGTTCTAAGAACAGAACCAAGCAATGTTCTTAGAACAGAAGCCCGACGTGTTAAAACAAAACAAACTCAACCAGAACTGCTCTCAGAGCATCTCGTGCAGATCACAAAAGGTTCTTAGAACATTCTTTGGTAGGCCTTCCGGCGAGCCAGGACGCTTCGCCACTGCTTGATGGTGGAGCTTCCTCGGAGCTCTCCGGGGGCTTCTGAGAGGCTCCCTGGGCGCGTCTTGCAAGCTCCTGGGAGGCCTTGCGGTGCCTCTGGGGTGCCTCGGGCCCCCGTGGGCCGAGACGACGCGGGAGGGATCGAGGAGACTGCCACTCGGCTTTTGGGGGACTCGGATTGGCCCGCTGGGGCCGCCAGGAAGACGACGAGGCCCAGGAGCGCGTGGGGGGGGTCCGGGGCCCGGGGGGGGGTGTATAATGTAACGCCTCCCCCCCGCCGTGCGCACGGCGGCAATGCCCGGAGCGCACTGGGGGGGGAGGGGCGTTACGTTATAGGGGGGGGGGCCGGGGGCTATAATGCCCATTATGCCACGAGCAATACAGAAGCACGTTCCAGCCCGAAGTCTGACGCGACCTCCCGCCGCCAACATCCCACACAGATTGGGCCGTCAGAGCCCAGGACGGGCTCGTCAAGAGGCGCTGGCAAACCCGGGTTCCCGCGAACTCGAGTCCTACGCCTCCCCGATACAAACACAAGCCGTCGGAGCTCCGCGCGGACTGCGTGGGTCGGCACCGGCCCCCCCGGACGGTGCCTCCAGCGCCGCCCCTCTGGCGCTCTCCGCGCTCCACCAAGGGAAAGGGGGTCCAGCGCCGACCCAAGTAACCGCAAGGACCTCCGTGAGCCCCACGGGACGATCTTTTTGGGCCGTCTGGGGCCCTCTTGGGTCTCTCTTGGGCCGCGTTGGGGCTCAGCGGGGGCGTCTGGGGCACTGCGAAGACGAAGCAAGCGAGTATGCTGAAAACGCACGTTTTACGAAGGAAATGGGCCGATCTTTGCCTCTTGAAGGCCCTCTCGGGGCCCTCTTCGGCCATCTTCAAGCCATCTCGGGCCCTCTTGGGGCGCTCTTGGGCGTCTTCGGGGCCTGTTGAGGCTTTCTTGATCATCTGTACGGCCCGCGTGGCCTGTCGTCGGCAATTTGGAAGCGGCCCGCGGCAGTCCTGGGGGGTCTGTGACCCCCCAAAGGTTCGGAGGGGCGCCCATGGGGGATGATGGCGACGGTTTTGCTCCCCCCCCCCCCGGCCTACTCCGACACACACACACACACATATAGATAGATAGATAGATAGATAGATAGATAGATAGATAGATAGATAGATAGATAGATAGATAGATAGATAGATAGATAGATAGATAGATAGATAGATAGATATATAGATATATAGAAATGTATGTGTATATATATATATATATATATATATATACATATGTATACATACACGCAACGTGTTCTTCCTCATGATGTCTCGAACACCCCTTAGCAAAACGCTCTTCGATGAAAACTGCCAGGGACACTCCACCTGCGCACAGTACCGCATTCCGAATGGACCCCAGCTGGGTACTGAATCGACGTCCAAGAGCAAACGAAACGTATCTGGCGATACGCACGTCGATGGGCGAAACCGACTCGGAACTGCACTGGCACACCCGAATGCCAATGTCAAGTGAGCAAGCGCAGATTTCCTCAGTCGACTTGTCTGGGTGGGATTCGCTCCAATCCCGCCGCATTGTTCCAATACCTATACAATGTTGGGGCGTTCGGGGCAGCCCCCGGCCCCGCGACCGCCCAGAAACGGCCCGGGAGAAAGAGCTGGCCCTGGACCCCCCAGAACGCACAGACCGCCCCCCAAGACGCAAAACACGTCCTGGCGGCGGCCCCCTCCGACGAAAAAGCATATCCCAACGTCCGCATAAATGTCCCGGGGCCGCCTTTCGTGCCGCCCGGACATCGGAAGCGACGATTGAGGCGAATAGCCCAAGGGAGAACAATACACTTGTTGTTTTCGTTCTATTTCTTCCCGGGGAGAGCGCCACCTGTATCGAAGAGCGCTGACGGCCCGTGCCTTCGGGGACCCCCCCTGGCGAGCACGTGCCACGCCCGCGCACGGCCGATTCGCCCCTATGGTTAGAGCGACAAAAACCACATAAACATAAACTTTTGGAGGTCCGCGCGGATTTCTTGGATCCGCGCTGGAGTCCCCTCCCCGGCGCGCAGAGCGCGCCAGCGGCGGCGCCAGAGGCGCCGCCTGGGGGGCCCAGCGCAGATCCAAGGACTCCGCGCGGAGCGTCAACGGTTTATGCTTATGTGCTTTTCCCTCCTTCGATATTCGTCCCCGTGGTGGGCTCGGAGGGCACCCCGCGGAGGTCGCGGTGCAGCCGCCTCGGGAGCTCCCCGGCGCCCACCCGCGCCAACGCGTGGGGCTTGAGGACGAGGCTGCTGCTCGTGCGGATGCCGCTCAGCCGCTCGCCGTCGGCCTTGCGAGTGCTGCCAGGCCGCCCCGTGCTCGACCACCCAGACATGCTAGGACGACGAGGAGGAGGAGGAGGAGGAGGAGGAGGAGGAGGAGGAGGAGGGAGGAGGAGAGGAGGAGAGGAGGAGGAGCAGGAGGAAAAAGGAGGAGGAGGAGGAAAAGGAGGAGAAGGTGGAGGAGGAGGAGGAGGAGGAGGAGGAGGAGGAGGAGGGGGAGGAGGAGGAGGAGGAGGAGGAGGAGGAACAGAGGAACAGACCGAGCGCACCCAGGTGCGTTGTTCGGGCGATGCCAAGTGCATTCTAGCCCTGACTATGAGCGGCGCTTGCAGCGGCGGGCGCAGAGGCAGCTGAAATTCCTTCCGCGGCCATGCCGTGGGTAGCTGCGCGGAGAAACTTGGTGAGGCCATCGCGCCCAGCGTGGGCGCGCGTGTATTCTCCTTTGTCTATTTTGGCGAGATTCTCTCGCCCTTTCTTAGTGATTCCCGTGCAGGGTGCGGCAAGGTGGCGTGGGTCTTCGGTTGCCGTCTTGCCGCGCCCGCGGCAGAAGTACGGGCGGTACTTCTGCATGAAATGGAGCTTATGGCTGGCGTGCAGCTCGCGCCCAGAAATGGTGATAGTGCCTTGTTCTGGCACTATCTGGTCACTGGCTGACGGCAGAGGCGGCTGGTGGGTGCACGGCGTGGCACAGGCCTGGCGTACTTTACACTTGTCTGTGGTGAGCCCGCAGCGGGAGCACAGGTACTTGCCCGCTCTGAGCTCAAAGGCGCGCTGGCTCGATTGCATGGCTAACTGCAGCTTGGTGAGGCGCGGGCCTTTGGCCTGCGAGGGTCGCTCCGCGACCCACGGATCAACTGCAAGCGTGTCAGCTAGGGCACGGCGCGCCCTCCTGCGGATGAGGGTGCACTGGGCATCGTGCAGGTCAGTGGGAGGGGCCTGTCCTACAAGCGCTGCCTCGTAAGACTGTTGGGCCGCTACACCTGCCCATGCATCGGCCGTCGCGTTGCCGATAGTGTGAAAGTATCGCACAGGGTCTGAGGCTAGGCCAGGTGACTCCTCGCTGTGTGAGGGCACCCAGATCACAGTGAGCTGACTAGTGCCACGTGCACGAATTGCTATGGCAATTCGTGCCCACATGTCCTCATTTGCGCCATCGCTGGGGCGCAAGTGTAGATTCGCCCGCCATCCGTCGTACAGCGGCAGGTGGTCTGCAATGAAACAGAGGTCGCCCTTCCAGTGTCCTAGGGCGAGCGCGAAAGCTAGCAGCTCTGCGCGGGGCACAGTTTGAAAAGGGGCCCTCGAGGCCCGACATTATTCCTCCCCAGGGGACCCACTCCCCGAAGAGGCACTTCATAGCAGCACGGGCGGTCCCCACTCTTCGGCGACGTGGGCCATCACTGTACTGACCTCCGGAACCGTCTCCGAAGAGAGTGAGGGTGCCGTCGCTACTGACGCAGTCCTCCCAATCCCGCCCAACCCAGCTCCACCCGCCGCCCCCCCCCCCAAAGAAGCAAAGAGCGGGTGCGCGTCAGCGCGCGCAGGCAGGCCACGGAGCCAGTAGGCGGGATCAGCCTCTGCTCCAGCCAGGGCAGAGGGCAACAGGGCGTCAGAATCCGTTTAGTCCTCGTGGTCGCGGTTGCAGGGGCACAGCCAGACCCTGTGCATGAGCGTCTCGTCGGCCTCTCCGCATCTCGGACAAATTGGAGTAGCGTTGCGCCCCGTCTCGATGAGTCGGCTTCTGGGCCATTGCGCCCCCGCGACCGCGCACAGGTTGAGGGCCGACTGGTCGTGCTGGCCCTTCCCCGTGAACTTCTCCATCTCGTTGGCAACTATGTGGACGTCTGGGCCCCCGCGTTGCAATCCCTCTCCATGTGGATGTTTGGCAGCGTCCTTCCAGAGGCTCCTCTCGAGGGACAGGCAGAACTCGTGGACGAACTCCGCAGGGTCCACGTCGTAGCGCTTGTCCTCCCAGTCGGCTTGTCCACTGTGAGGTAGCTGCCACTCCTGGGCATGGATCTCGCCTGCCCAAGGTGGTCGTGACCGCTCCGTTGGCGTCGGGCAGGTCCAGCCAGCGTCCAGGAGGATGGCCTGGATGGCGGAGATGGGGCACATGACCTTCCTCCACTTCTTGCTGCCGCGCGTGATCGTCTTGTTGTAGATCAGCTTCCACGCCTGCGTGACCCGCATGTGGTGTTCTGGGTACTGCATCCAGAAGTTGAGCCACTCGGCGATCGCCTGGCGCCTGAGCTCGATGGCGGGGCCCTTCTTCCTCATGACGACAGCCAGGGCGGTGGAGAGACAGCGGCCAGGGACCTTCCCCGCAGAGGCCTGGATGGCCTGGCGCCTCTGGTCGAGGATGGCCGCTGGGGCGAGGCCCATGATCTGGCGGCCGTAGGTCCCCTGCGGCCTGGAGCCCGTGTGGCACAAGCACTTCGCGATCTTGGCGAGGGAGGCGTGCTTCCTGACCTTGGCGACGATGCGGCGAGTGCGCCTCCTCGCAGTCTTGGCCCTCTTGGTGGCCTTGGCCACGACCCGTCTCTTGGCGCCGCCCACGTCGATGCCGAGGTCGACCGCGCTGTTGGCCACCTTGACGTAGTAGCCCTTCTGCTTGAGGCCGTCGTGCACTGCGTAGGCGATCGTCTGGTTGGAGGCGACGACGGTGGTCTCGGGCGAGACTCGAAGCCCCGCGCCCGTCATACCGGCGCAAAGGTCGGGGCCGACGCCGATCAGATCCTTGGCGACCTGTTTGGTTTGGCCCTCTGTTCTCGCGACCGTGTCGTCCACGAACGTCCACAGGCCCGCGTAGGTGTGGTTAATGTGAGCCCTCTGCAGGATCGGCCCCAGGTAGACTTTGGCGAGCTTGCCGCCATTGCAGCTGCCCGCGACAATGGACCTCTCGGCATCTATGATGTCGCTGACCCAGGCGTGCATGCGCAAGTATCTGGGCGCCAGGTAGAGCTGCACCTCCAGCGCCACGACGATCGGGGGGAAGTTCACCCCGATGGCGGCGTCGAAGAGGAGCGCGTAGCAGACCGAGTCGTAGAACTTCTCTACGTCCATCAGCAAGGTCGCGAAGGCGATGCCAAAGGTCGCTGCCGTCTCGTCGAGCAGCGCCCTGACCAGCGCTGCTCTTAAGGCGCTGGAGCCTTTGATGGCGGTGTCCCAGAACTCCCCGAGCTCCTTGGACCACTCGTCGGTGACGCTGGAGCGGACCTTGGCCCACGTCTTGGGGATGGTGGGGAGCATGCCCAAGATTCTCTCTCCACCTGCGGGCATGGGGGCCATGGCCCCGATGGTGGCGCAGAGCTGCTGCGGCCACAGTCCGTTGGCCTCCACGTGGTTGTAGATGTCGGCGAGCTCCTGGATCCCTTTCTCGGGGGGCCGCTGGATGTCGATGGGGCCGATGTTGTCGACTCCTCTCGCCTTCTTCGGGTTGGCGGTGCCCACGATGGCTTGCACGTGCTGCGGCTCGATGGGCGAGAGAGGGTCCTCTTTCGCAAGTCGCATGGCCTTCTCGTAGGCGCTGATTATCTGCTTGGCGTCGTAGCTGTCGGACGCCCAAATGGAGCGCCAGGTGTCCGCGGAGTGGTTCATGACCGTGGATGGGTCGCCCACCGTCCTCTGGGGCTGCTTCTCCTCCAGGCGCGGCGCCTTGGGGTCGGTGACCATGCGGCGCAGCTTGCCTGGTGACTCCTTCCACGCCTGCTTCGCCCAGTCGAGGTACCGTTTTCGCGCTCTACCTGCAGCTCTCGCCATGGCCTTGTGGGTCCACTCCATGGTGGTGGCGCTGATGCGGTGCAGGTCGCCCTCGTCGCAGTGCTCGAGGGTGGCGAGCTGGGTCTTCCACTCTTCGATCTCCTGCGGGTCGGTTTTGCGACCGATGTGCTCCTTGGAGAACTCGGGGTTCTCTAGGTCGCCCAACTTCTTCATGACTGTCGTGTGGATGTACTGGCGGGATTTGGGGCCACAGCCGTTCGTGACCAGCGCGGTGTACCTCGCGACAAGGGTGCTGAGGTGCTGCCACCAGGTGGCCTCGGGGTCCTTGAGGTACGCTCTGCCAGGCGACGCCTTCATCGTCTGCTTGGTGGTCCTGTACCCCTCTGCACTGCCCTGGCACCTGGCCCTGTCCTCGACGGGGGCCGCATGCGTCTCCAGGAAGGCGAGCTCCAGGGTCGCGATCCACTGCGCGTACTTCGAGTGGGTGTCCTCCGCGAGGTTCGGCTCATGGTCGTGGAAGATGCGTCCTCTGCCCTCCTTGGTGCCGACCTCTGTGCCATCGAACTTCGGGAAGTTGCTGACCTCGTCGGCGGCGTCGTCCCAGTTCTCCTGGGGGATGACGAAGGGGGGCGGGGTCCTCCTTGGCCGTCTCGCGGTTGGCGTACAGGGCGCCGAACTCGTCGCGCAAGTGCTCTGGTAGCCTTTCCCTCCTGGTTCGCAACGCCTCCGCGCGAGCCTTGGACCTTTTGCCGTTTGGGTCCGCGACCTTTTTGGGTCTGGCTCGCGCGGGGAGGGCTTTGGGAACCTTTATAGCTTTGTGCTGCCACGGCTCGGCGGTGCCCACCGTGATCTGGATGCCGCAGTGGGCCTTCAAGGGGACGTCGTAGATGGCCTCGATCCCGATGTGCGTGGCGATGTCCGCTCGTACGATCGCGTAGTCGTACACGGAGCCCGAGCCCTTGTCGCACGTCGCCTTGCAGTTCGGGTCGGTCAGGCTGGTGCCGTTCCAGCGCGTGAGCCACGGCTTGTTGTCCCGCCAGTGCGGCTCGTAGTTCCAGTCGGCCAGGATGATCCACGGGTCCGTGAGCATGTCCACGAAGGTGGAGATGGAGACCAGGATGTCCCTGTTCGCGCCTTGGTCCCGTAGGCCAGGGCGAAGGTACGCCGCCACGACGACTATGTTGCCGCTCTTGGTGTGGAGGACCGTCGGCGTGAACCCCGCGAACGGCTGCCTCTTGTGGCGCTTGACATCGTAGTCCCTGTAGCCCTCGAACGTAGTCGCCGCCACGTCCCTGCGCGTGAGGATCCACTCGCCGCCAAGGGCCCCCTTGTCAGATTTGTTGGTAGCCACCGCCGGTGTGGCCGAGAGCTTCCAGCCGTCCATGGCGAGCTTGCCGATCTGCTCCGTGAGGCCGTTCGCGTCGACGTGCGTCTCCGCTAGCGCTATGTGGTACGTGTACCCTGCGTTGCGACAGAAGTTGGCGGCCTGCGGGCCCCATTCCGTGATGTTGCCGAACAGGATCTGCGCTGCCTGCTCGGGCTTAGGGGCGGGTGCTCCTGCCGTGGGCGGACCACTGGCGCGGGTCCCAGGCCCCTTAAGCCGAGCAGGCTGCTCGCGGCTACCCCATCGACGGTGGGGCTCCTGCCGCTGCCGCTGGCACCGTGGTGGCGCCCTTGCCAATGCCCTTCGCTGCGAAGGCCAGCTCCCTGGCCCTGGCGGTGGTGGCGATGAGCTCGGCGGCGGCCTTGCGGCCCTCCCCGGATGGCTCGTCGGCGGCAGGGGCGGCTGCGGCGGGTCCAGGGGCGCCTCCAGGCTGACGTGGCTCAGCAGGTGGGGCGGCAAAACCTCCTGGCGTGCCAGGTTGTGCCTGTCCTCCAGGCGCGGCGGCTGGCTGCTGTTCAGCTGGTGGTACGGAAGGGTGCCCAGGCTCAGGAGCAGGTTGCTGAGCTGCAGGTGCTGGCTTCTTGCGCTTCGCAGGGTTGGTGGTGGACTCCTTGGCTTGACGTAGGAGCTCTCGAACTTTTTCTTGGCCATTGTTGAGCTAGGCGAGGAGCTGGTCGAGCTCTTGCTTCCACTGTTCCATCTGGGCGCGGGTGCCATCATCGTAAATGGAGAGGTCGTCCCACATTGAGCTGTCAACCTTGAAGGCTTCCTGAGGCCCCACAGGTGGTGCTCCGCGTACTGCTCCAGCGAGTTTGGCACTGTGGTCAGCTTGTGCCTTGGCGCATGCGTTCTGTGCCTGGGCGTGGTCAAGGGCGGCTTGCTCTTGTTTGTCCACGGCGTCGTCGTACCACTGCTTGGCGGTCTCCACGTCGTCGACCGTTAGCTGGAACTTCTTCTCCCTGTCGGTGAGGACTGACAGCGCCGACTGGAGCACCTGCTCGGCTGTGCGGGCAGGCGGAGGCTTGTCGGGCTGCTGGAGGGCGTCCTTGAGGTTGCCGACGAGTTCGGCGTGCTTGGTGTCGCTGAGGAGCGTGCTGAGCGCGGCGAGTATGGCGTCCCTTGTAGGGGCGGCGGCCACTGGCGGCTCCTTCCACGGCGGTGGCTTGCTGGCTCCTGCCCAAGCCCCTGTGGGCTGGCGGTGTTCGGCAGGTGATGGAGCCAGCTGCTTGCCACAAGAGAAGCACTCGGACTTTCCCTTCCATGTCCATCGGTATCGGCACTGCTTGCAGACTGTGTATTGGCTTGCGAACCTTGCTGGCGAGCCTCGTCCGCCTTCAGGGCGTGCGCGTCGCGGCCTGGTGCCGCCAGCATTGGCGGCAGCTCCTCCGTCAGCAGGGGCGGTCCCTCCACCACGATCCGCGGCGGCCATCGTCTCTCTGCTTCCCAGGGAGCTCTCGCGAGCAGCGCAAGGGAGGAATATGAAGTGGGCGGCAGCTCGCCCGTGAGTGTGGCTGCGGATACGAAAAGCACTGAAAGCTGTGGGAGCCGACCCCAGATAGGCAGTAAAATGAACACCATTTTGGCCTTGATCCAAAATGGCTACGGAGGAGGAGGAGGAAGAGGAGGAGGAGGAGGAGGAGGGGAGGGGGGGGGGGAGGAGGGGGGAGGGGGGGGAGGGGGAGGAGGTGAGGGGGGAGGAAGGAGGAGGAGGAGGAGGAGGAGGAGGAGGAGGAGGAGGAAGAGCAGGAGGGAGGCAGGAGGAAATAAAAAAAAAGAAGTAGTAGGAGGAGGAGGAGGAGGAGGAGGAGGAGGAGGAGGAGGAAAAGGAGGAGGAGGAGGAGGAGGAGGGAGAAAAAGGAGGACGACGAGGGGGAGGACGAGGAGGAGGAGGAGGAGGGAGGAGGAGGAGGAGGTGAGGAGTAGATGAGGCAGGAGAAAAGGAGGAGGGAGGAGGACGGAGGAGGAAAAGGGGAGGAGGGAGGAGGAGAGGAGGAAGAGGACGAGGAGGAGGAGTAGGAGGAGGAGCTGGAGCAGGAGAGAGGAGGAAGGAGGAGGCAGGAGGAGGAGAGGAGGGGAGGAGGAGAAAAAGGAGGAGGAGGAGTGAGGAGGAGGAAGAAAAGGAGGAGGGAAGGAGTGGAGGAGGAGGAGGAGGAGGAGGAGGAGGAGGAGGAGGAGGTGAAAAGGAAGGGGAGGCGAAAAAGGAGGGGAAGGAAGAGGAGGAGGAGGAGGAGGAGGAGGTGGAGGAGGAGGAGGAGGAGGAGGAGGAGGTGGGGGAGGGGAGGAGGGGGGGGGAGGGGGAGGGGGAGGAGGGAGGAGAAAAAGGAGGAGGAGGAGGAGGAGGAGGAGGAGGAGGAAGAGGAGGAAGAGGAGGAGGAGGAGGAGGAGGAGGAGGAGGAGGAGGAGGAGGAGGGAGGACCAACATGGGGAGGAGAAACATCGCCCCGGAATCGGCCACGCTTCGCCGAGCTAGACCGGCGACAGGCTCCCGACGGCGACTCCTCCGCACGCTTCTGGGCGGGGCGGGCCGTCGGGCCCCTGGCTTTCAGGCCATCGCTCGGGTCTGATGCGGCCGCTTGGGACGATCTGGGCATCCCAGGGACAGCCTCTGCGAGGCACAGCTGCTGGAGAGCTGCGCAAGGCTGGAGAACGAGCACGCCGGAAGACCGTACGCCTCGCACCCGAACCCGAAACGTCCCCCCCCCCCCCACGTTGTCCCCGACAGGGGCGGCGAAGCGGCGCGAAGAGCCGGGCCACTGTGGCCAGCAGCCCGCACGTGCGATGTCCTGATCTTCTGTGCGCGGTCCCCGGAAATCCAGTCCCTTTCCCCAGGCCCAGTTTTTCATCCAGAGCCGTTCTGTGACGGTCCCGACGGTCCCGGCGAGGGCCCACCGAGGCCGAAAACCGCCAGAAGCCTCCCGCCGCGCCCTCTTCCCAAGCCGCGAGCGTGTCTGGGGGGGGGGGGGGCATCTCGGGCTGGCAACGCCTACGGCCCCGCCCCGGCGGCCGTGCAGCGGGACTCCACCATGGTGCCCGTCGCGAGCGCTGCGCGCACGAGCTCGTCGCACAGCTCGGCGGGCCAGAAGCCTGGCAGCCCGAGCACTGGCGGGTCCTGCCGCCGGGCATGTCGCTATCGGTCTCGTCGAACTTCGAGTTTCGGAGGCGTTTCACACTTCTTGTCTTGTTTTTTTGGGGGCCCGGGGAGGCGTCTCATCGCCACGGCCAGATTCGCTTCAAAATGCAGGTCAGGACGCATCCCATGACAGGTCCACGGGTCGAACTCTGACCCCAGCCCTGGCATGCTCACGTCGTGAAGGAGGAGGAGAAGGAGAAGGAGGTGGAGGAGGAGGAGGAGGAGGAGGAGGAGGAGGAGGGGAATGAGGGGGAGGGCAGCAAGTGGGGACAGGAGGAGGAAGGAGCAGGTGAACCAGAGGAGGACGAGGACGGCGGGAGGAGACCCCACGGGGTTGGGGGCCGCCCCGCTGGACACGCCCACCACGGGCGGCGGCATCGACCAAGCGCAGAGGGGGCGCCTCCCGACACCCTCCGGGCTGGGCCCAGCGGCGCCGCCCGACGCCCGTGGCCACTTCAAGGAAGATCTGTTTCTTGAGGGGCCCTGCGATCAATGAAGCTAGGGCTCCCAACTTCGCGCTTCGCGCTGCGCGAAGCGCGAATAACTTCGCGCTCTCGCGCCGCCCTCCCAAAGGGAGAATAGGAGGACGAGGAGGAGGGGGAGAAGGAACGAGGACCGCGAAGCGCGAAGCGCGAATAACTTCGCGCCCTCGTGGGAGCCCTTGATGAAGGCGCCTCTCATGCTTCGAATACTGGGCGTTCTCGCGTGGCTGCGGGCGCCGGGGCCCCTCGCACGGCGGTCTGGCGCAGCGGGGTTCGCGGGGGGAGGCGGAACAGCACTTGCAATACAGCCGGGCCGCTGAAGGAAGGAACGCTAAATAAGGAACGAAGCCCCTTCTTGGCCCTGTAAGCGCCTCCGTGCCCCAAGAGGGCAAGAGGAACAGCACTGGAGGAACCTAAGGAGCATCGAGCCCCTTCCGAACCCAAACTGTTCCCTGTTTCACGCAGATCGCGCGCTGGCTGCAACAGTGGCGTGGGTACAATTGTGCATCTTGCTCCGCACGCGGTAGATGTCGCCCGTGGAATGCAGGCCTCGGAAAAATAGCGAAGACTCATGCCACATTGATCAGTCAACGCCTCCCCATCACCCCGTTGCTCAAAGCTGGCGGTGGGTCCGATGAGATGCACCTCGACAGCGGTCTCCTCCGCGCGTGCCAAGACTGATGTTTTGGGAGAAGGGGAATTGGGGGAAAAGGGGAAAGCCCCTCTTGTGTTTGGAAGTTTGGGAATTCTGGGAAAGGGAACAGGGGAAGTCTGGAGTTTGGGAAAAGGGGAATTTGGGGAACTGTTTCCCTCTGCCGGTGTGCGCGCCCCCCCCACCCCCCGCAGTGGTTGCCCACCGCGGCGCGCAATCGTGCACCACCCAGTGCGCGACTGCACCCTGTGGCCGCCGACCCGTCTCTGCGCCAGAGAGCCGCTGCTCCGGCCCAGGACGACCAGCCACCAAAGAGGGGAAGGGGTCGGGACGTCCGGAGACACCGCGCCCCGCACAGTCGGGCCGCCGACCTCGGGGGAGCGAGGGAGGAGGCGCGAGCCCCCCTGCTCTCCGAGCGAGTCCACGCAGCCCGAAGGAGCGGCCGCGCCCCTCTCCGTCGGCGTCCCGCGTGCAGGCCGAGGGCACGACCGAGCCTCCTTCCGAAGGGCGCGTGCTCCTCTTACTCGGCGGCCCGACGTGCCACAGCAGAGGTCGAGGCGTCGCACGTCCGGGCCGCCGAGGAGCGGCCTCTTGGGAAGGCCAGGGGGACCTCCCAGGGAGGGCAGAGGCCTTCGGAGAGGTCCCCGGATGCTTCTTGTGAGGGCGGGTCCTCCCAAGGGGACCTTCGGAAGAGTGCCAACGGGGGGCTCTCCGGCGGGTCAGGGGAGCCGAAGACGCCCGAGAGTGTCCCGAAGCCCCACAAGAAGAGAACGGTGATGCTGGTGAAGACGGTGATGTTGGTGGTGACGGTGATGATGATGATGAGTGCGATGATGATGATGATCGGCATGACGATGATGACGATGACGATGACGATGGCGATGCTAATGATGATGCTGTTGCTGATGGTGTTATTGAACGATGTTGATCATCATGACGGTGGTGATGTTGATTATGTTATTGATGATAGTGATGATGACGCGAATAGTGTTGCTGCTGCTGATGATGATGAAGATGAAGATGCTGATGATGAGTACGATGATGAATCCGACGATAACGGTGATGAATATGGTAGTGGTGATGATGAGTCGAATGCGGATGCTTATAACTATGTTGATGAAGATGATGATGGGTGCTGTTGTTCTTGTTGTTGATTGTGATGGTGACGGTGATGCTGCTGCTGATGACGATGATGACGATGACGATGGCGATGATGGTGACCATGACAATGCTGATTATGATTATGCTGCTGCTGCTGCTGCTCATGATGACTCTGACTATGGTGATGATGAGCGTGGTGATGGCGGTGGTGATGATGACGACGAAGGTCATGATGATCACGATGACGGTGGTGATGATGACGACGAAGGTGATGATGATGATCACGATGACGGTGGTGATGGCAACGGTGATGAGCACGACGATCACAATGCTGATGCTGATGCTGATGAGCTGATGTCAGTGGCCTCCAGAGGCCCCAAGAGACTTCTGGAGAGAGAGAGGGGGAGGAGGCGTTCGACCAGTGTCCCGCTCGGATGGAGAGCGGTTGAAACATCAAAATGTTGGGGGCTCTGCTTAGGGACTCGGTCGGGAGATGCGTGCTGTACGAAGGGGCTGGGACGGGTCGGAGCGACCGCGTGGTCAAGCTGCCGCCTGGTGGCCGCCTGCCCCCCTCTCAAGCACGGTGGGCCGTGAAGAGACGGCTGGGCACGCTGGCAGGGCAGAGGATCAACTTCTGCCCGGGCGGCCTCAAGCCGCCCAGCCTGAGGCGGCCGGGAGAGGAGGAGGGGGTGGAGGAGGACGAGGCAGGAGGACGAGGCGGCCTGGAGGAGGAGGAGGAGGAGGAGGAGGAGGAGGAGGAGGAGGAGGAGGAGGCGGCAGCAGAGCAAGAGGGGGCGGCAGAGGAAGTTCGCCATCCCAGGCGTGGTAGTAATCGCGACACACCAGCGGAAGGAAAACGATCAAGAGGAGGGGGAGGATGAGGAAAAGGAGGCAGCGCCAGAGGGCTCCAGGACTCGAGGCTGAACGGCCACGCCCGTGAGCCCAACATGGCACGGCACAGGGAAGAAGACGGCAGCAGGCAGCCAGGGTGGTGGCAGAGGAGGCGGAGGCGGAGGAGGCGGAGCCAAGGCCTCCACCGACCGGGGCCACCCAGGACGAGCTCCGAGGGCGCCGCGCGGCCTCGAGATGACCGCAGCTGGGCTTCGGGCGTCACGCCCCGACGCCTCCCGGGCGGGGCTGCGTCGGGAGGACGGAGCGGAGCGTCGGTCTGTGAGGATCTGTGCCGGCGCCGCGCTGTCGAGCTGCGGCGGCCCAACCTCGCGCGCAGCCTGCCTGCTTTCAGTGGCGGCCAGGCCTTGGGGGACGAAGGAGGTGGCGGAGGAGAAGGAGGAGGATCCTCACCGCCCGTCGCCCGGCGTGCCGCACACCTCTAGTGGGGCCCGATGGCGGCAGGGCCGCGGGAATCAGCAGCACAACATCTGCAGAAAGGGAGCCAGTAACAACGGCCCTGTCGTGTGCAGGACCCTCTAAGGCCGCGCCCACTCCCATGAGAGGAGGAGGAGGAGATGAGGGCGAGGCTGGAGGAAGATGTACTTGAAGGCTTCGATGAATGTGCAGCGGCACGTCGATCTCAGGCCTCTATCGTGTTGCCGTGGGGACTGTGGACACTGCGGGCCGTCATCCTATAACACGGGCGAGGGGTGAGGAGCTGGACGAGTGAAAACGAGAAGCGAAACGGGAGGAGAAGCTGGTGTTCGAGCCGGAGCTCCTCCTCGTCATCATCCATCCGGCTCCTCCCCCTCCCACCCCTCCTTCTCCGCTAGCCCCCCCTGCTCGACCTCTCATTTCTTTTCCTCCCCCGTCTGCTGAGGGGTGGCGGAGGAGGAGGACCAGTGTAAAACCAAGACTCATCAACGATGTTGAAATATCCCCCAAAAAGCATTTCCACTGAGGAAGTGCCCCGTTGGGGGACAGCCGTGCGACAATCCAGAAGCGTGCCAAAACACGATTCTCATGTCTTCAACGCCACGAATCAATCTGACTGCTGCGTCTTGGCGATCCTGATTGGCACTAGGACACCACCCCTGGGACTTCAACACCGCGAATGAAAGTAAAAACTGTTGCGCCCTGACAGTCATGAATCGCTCCAAAAACGAATGTGCGCGGCGCTAAGGCGAGAGCCTCATTTCTTCAAGGAACAACACTCAAACTGTGAAACGCTTGCGAATTAAAAAAACGAACAACCACATTGTGAAAACGACTCGCCCTCAATCCGTGAAATTCAAGCATGTGTTTGAAAAGAATGTGCTCGACGCTGGGGCGAGAACCACATTTTGAAAACGACCCGCCATCAACCCGCGAAACTCTTGCAACTGTTTGGAAGGAATGTGCGCGGCGCTAAAACAAGAACCACATTTTGAGACCGACCTGCACTCAATCCGCAACACCTTGCAAACAATTGAAGCGAATGTGCGCGGGGCTAAAATGAGCCACACTTTGGAAGCGGCCCGCCATCGACCTGCGAAACTGTTGCCAGCTTTGAAGCTTCAGGCTCAAAACAAAACAAAGACGCCTTAGGCGAAACGCCCAGCCCGCCCTTCCGACTGACTTCGGGGTGCGACAGTGAGGAGTTAGTCATAAGGAAAAGGAATGGAGGAACTGGAGGAGAAGTTTCAGGAGGAGGAGGACGGGGAGGAGGAGCTGGAGGAACTCGAAAAGGAGGTCGTGGAGGAGGAGGAGGAGGAGGAGGAGGAGGAGCTGGAGGACGTGGAGGACGAGCTGGAGGACCATGGGGAGGAGGAGCTGAAAAGAAGGACGGGAAGGACTTAGTGGGCCCTGGAAACGACAGGGCCGTTTTGTTACCGGTTCCGTTTTGCCGTTTTTGTTGCCGGTTCCGACACCGTTTGTTCACCGGTTCCGTCGCCGTTGTTTGACCGGTTCCGGCTCCGGTTCCAGTCCTGGATCCGTTTTTTTGCCGTTTCAGGTCGCCGTTTTTTTTGCCGTTTCTATTTTCAAGGGACATGTTTTTGGAAACGGTGAAAAAACGGCCCTGCCGTTTCCGGGGCCCACAAAGGGGGAGGAGGAGCCGGGAAGGGAGGAGGAGGGAGGGCGGATGGAGCGAGGAGGAAGGGAGCTGGAGAGGTCGGTGGGAGATGCTGGAGCTGGAGCCGCTCCTCGTGCAGCACACGGAGGCGCGCGCGCACCCAGGGCGGCGGGTCGACGGGCACGTAGGCCTCGCGCAGTGTGGCCAGGACCCGGTCCAGAGCGGGCGGCTCTGCCGCCTGGGCGGGGAAGCGACTGGCCCTGGCAGGCCCATTTCCTCCTCCTCCTCCTCCTCCTCCTTCTCCTCCTCCTCCTCCTCCTCCTCCTTCTCCTCCTCCTCCTCCTCCTCCTCCTCTTCCTCCTTCTCCTCTTTCTCCTCCTCCTCTTTCTCCTTCTCCTCCTCCTCCTCCTCCTCCTCCTCCTCCTCCTCCTCCTCCTCCTCCTCCTCCTCTTCATAATCATCATCATATCATCATCATCATCATCATCATCATCATCATCATCATCATCGTCGTCGTCGTCGTCGTCGTCGTCATCAGCAGCAGCAGCATCACCATCACCATCACCATCACCATCACCATCATCATCATCATCAGCATCATCATCACCATCATCATAATCATCATCACCATCATCATCACCATCATCAGCATCATCATCATCACCATCATCATCATCTTCAACACCATCATCTTCAACACCATCATCATGATCATGCTCATGATCATCATCATCACCACCATAATAATCATCAACATCATCAACATCACCACCGCCATCATCGCCACCGTCATTTTTATCAACGTCATCGCCATCGTCATCAGCAGCAGCAACAGCACCATGATCATCAGCATCATCAGCATCACCATCATCACCATCATCAGCATCATCATCATCATTATCATCGTCATCGTAATAATCAGCATCATCATCGTCATCATCATCATCATCATCATCATCATCATCATCACCCTCGCCATCACCGTCGTCATCAGCAGCACCAGCATCAACAGCATTATCAGCATTACCAGCATTACAAGCATCAGCATCATCTGCATCAGCATGACCATCATCAAAAGAATATAATCATCGTTATCGTTATCCTCACCATCCTCATCCTCATTATCAGACTCATGCTCATATTCAGACTCACACTCATACTCGTACTCCTGCTCCTCCTCCTCCTCCTCTTCCTCAAAATCCACTTTCTCCTTCTCCTCCTCCTCCCTCATCCTGCCTCCTCCCTCCTTCTGCCCCTATTCTCCCTCCTCCTCCTCGTCCTCCTCCTCCTCCTCATCCGCCTCCTATCCTCCTCCTTCTCCTCCTCCTCCTCCACTCCTCCTCCTCCTCCTCCTCCTCCTCCTCCTCCTCCTCCTTCACCTCGTCCTCCTCCACCTGTTTCTCCCCATCCCCCTCCCTCCTCCTTCTCCTCCTCCTCCTCTTCCTCCTCCTCCTGACCCCTCCTCTCCTCCTCCTCCTCCTCCTCCTCTTCCTCCTCCTCCTGACCCCTCCTCCTTCTTCTCCTCCTGCGTTCCCTTCTACTTCTCCTCTACCTCCTCCTCCTCCTCCTCCTCCTCCTCCTCCTCCTTCACCTCCTGCCCCCCCCTCCTACTCCTCGTCGTCGTCGTCATCCTCCGGATTACCCCCGTCCCCCGATGCATGAACCTCACTTCTGCATCTAATCCCTCTGCTCGTTAAGCCCTCTCTGCTCCTCCCCCCCCTGCTCCCTGTACCAGCCGATGGGCAGGGGCATCCTGGGTCCTGGCACAGCACGTACGCCCTCTCGGCCGAGGCGCGGACGGTCTGCGCGCCATTACGGGGCGGCCCCTGGGGGGCCCTGGCCTGGCACGATGGCGGTGCACGGCAGGCTCGTGTCGCTGACGACCTGGGCGCTGGTCTCTGACACCGCGTGCCTCGTTCAGGCTTGAACGAACGTGGCTTCTCCGTCGACGGCGGGCTGAACTGTCGTCACTGTCGGGGCTCTGCTGCGCCGAAATAGCTTCGCATGACGCCCGCGGAAAGTTCAGAGGACGCTCCTGGGAGCCTTTCGTAATCGCCTGCGTGGCCGCAGTGGCTCCTCCAATGGCCACCAGTGGACCCCAACGGCCTCCCGCAAGCCTAGAGCCGCCTTCCGTGCCTCCTCCAGTGGCCCACCCGCGGCCTCCAGTGGCCTCCAGTGGCCTCACGTAGCCCCCAGGGGCCTCCAGTGGAGCGAGCATAACGACTGTGGACAACTGGAGGCGCAGGAAAGCCAGGCCAACTGACAATAAGAGGCTCCAAGGATCGTCTTCTGAAGCAAAGGGATGATTAAGGAGACATGCCGGGGAAGCCAATCGTCGATGTCGGCCGATCCTGGGCCACCGGCGGCATTCACCCCTGAACGCCCGGGCTGGGGTCGCCACCGCGTCGACGCAGCGCGAACCAGGCGTGCACATGCACCATCTCATCTTCGGAATTCTGGAATCAATAGGGGGAAAACAAACCTACCTCGCTTTTGACCACCCTCGCTTCCAAGAGATACCAAACGATGCTAAATTGCAGCCTGTACTGGTCAGGCCGCTTGACGAGGAGGCGCGTGGTATGGCTTGGTTTTGCCTGGAAGCGAAAGCGGGGTAGGTAATTCACGCTCTGAATCAAATCGGATCGGGCCAGCCGGAACCGAAAAATCTGATGGGTTCGATCGAATCGACATGGACCCTGACAGATGCCATCTGCGGAGCTTCACCCTTCGATCGCAGCACCCAGGACTTTCTCAGGCCAGACGCAACGAGGGCTAGCAAACCAGCTCGCGCGGCTGGTTTCCCTGGCTCCTCCCGAACCGAATCTGTCGAGGAGCACGCCCAGGGCGGCGGGGGCGAAACCTGCTGCATGCGGATGTCGTATCTCCCCCTTCCACCGGAAAAAGACGCAACGTCTGAAATATAGACTTACGTCGGGCGCGTCCTCCTGCAGGCGAATTCTGGACGACAAATTAAAAACATTGACAGAAAGTACGCCAGACATGCAACACAAGGATTCAAACAGATCGTCCCCTGACAACTTTTGCTTGACCAGTTTCGACTCTTCCTCCTGCAGAGGGACGGGCCCGACTTTGATGAAGGGGCCCCAGGACACACAAATAAATACACACAAACAAAAATACGCACCAGATTTTCCCATATTTTCTGGGTTTTTGTCTTCCCCCCCAACTCCCATATCTTCCTATACTTTCTGGAAATCGAGGATTCATTGTGTCTGTGTGCTTCTTTCCCTCCTGCTTCGAGGCAGACGTCCGAGGAGCCGCGCGGACGCCTCGCATCGGCGCTCGGCCCCCCGGCGCCGGGGGCGCCGACCCCCCCAACAAAGGGAGTCCGCGCGGGCCGCCGAGCGTTCCTGCTTCTGCCAGGGTCGGGCGGGTCCCCTAAAACAGGGCTAGGATCGGGATAAATCGCTCCAGAGCGTTCCGGAGCGCTCTCAGAGCGTTCCGGAACGCTCTGGAGCGGCCGCGGCGCCCAATACATCCTCCAAACCCGCCGATTCTCAGAGATTTCGAGTTATCCCGATCCGATTTTGTCCTGAACTTCGCGTCGTTTTATCCCCCTGCAGGCGGACTGTGGGCGAAGAAATGGAAAACAGCCAAACGTACACCAAACAATGACCCCTAGCATGATCACAACACGAAGAAATGGAACACAGCCAAAACATACACCAACAATGATCTCACATTATCACAACACGAAGAAGTGGAAAACAGTCAAAACATGCACCAAACAATGATCTCACATAATCATATGACACATGTTTCAGAAGAAACGGAGAGAAAGCCATGCCAAGCAATTATCAAAAAAGAACCCCGAAATCGTCCCCGGACTATTTTTTGACTGTTTCTGGATACTCCTCCCGTAGATGGACAGGCCCGACTTGATGCTTCTGCTGCAGGGCCTGTTCCTGGACCGTGCGTCCGACCCGACACCCGGGGGGCCCCGGAAGAGGGGGGCCCCCGGTACACAAGACGCCGATGCGCCCGAGAAAGCTGCAGCGGGCCGAGGCAGCTCTCACCCTCCGACCCTCCGCCCTCCGAAGCCCAAACGCCGACGTGCCCGAGAAAGCGGTTGCCGTGGGCCGAAGCAGCCCCCGCCCTCCGTCTTCTCTGCGTGGATTTTTGTTGGGGCAAGTCCTGGATGGCAAGGTCTTGGTCCGAGGGGGAACGATCGGGGGGGGCGGCTCCGGGGGGAAGAACTGAGCTGGAATCGGCGATGCGTGGCTGCTGGACCGGCGAAAAGCCCCCGATAGATCGGCGATCGGCGATAGGCCCCCGATGACGAATCCGCCCGCTCCTGGGCTTAGGTCGGGCGTGTCCCCCCTTTTGCCAGATTCTAAAGGGAAGCTTCAAAAGCCAAGCAATACCAGAAAGTAGCGAGAGATGATGCTGAAATCGTCCCCAGACTATTTTGTTTGCCTACTTCTGAACACTCCTCCTGTAGAGGGGCAGGCCCGACTTCCTGCGGAGGGACCGGCCAGAAGCCCCCCGCTGGATCGGCGATCGGCGATCCGCCCCCGATGACGAGGCCGCCCGCTCCTGGCTGGGGCGGGCAGCGGCTGTCGGGTCCCGATCGGCGATCAGTGCTATGCTGCTCCCATCGTACAGTCGGGGCGTGGACCTAAGGAACCCTAAATAAGGAACGAGGCCCCTTTTTTCCAGAAGTTGAACTTCGATTTCCTATCGAAGACACAAGGAAAACCTGAGGCAAGCTGCGAAACACTTAAGGAACGCGGAGCCCCTCCCCAACCAAAAGGGTTCCTTCTTCAGGGCCCCGAAGGTCGGGGGCGGCAAAGAGGGGGGCGTCCAAGAGGGGGGGGTGCAGATCATGGCCGGCGGCATGCGCGCGGCCCAGGGAAGGGGGCCAGGGACGTAATGAAATACGACGAGGCGCCATGAAATCTGGGGAGATATCATGGCCCACGCCATGATATCCCCCCCCCCTGTCATCACCCCCCTCTTTGCCGCCCCCGAACTTAAGGACCACATCCCAGAAACATGTTCGAGCGCCCCGAAAAGTGCCGCAAGAGCGTCGACACAATGTCGGACGAGCGTCTCCCAGGGCCCGGCACGGGAAAACCCTCGGGCCTCGGTACTCTGCTGGTGCTCGACATTCTTGCTGGCGATCAGGGCTGAAAACAGGTTGGGACATCACAAGATCAGGAGGCGGTCGGGGGGTCGATGCTTGGAGGCCTGGAAATGGGCACCAACACCAACACA